CTGATGCCCCCCCCCCCGCCACTGCCCCAGAGCCGGTGCTGAATGAGAATTCCTGCGCAGTGCCTGTCTACGGCACCAGGCCACCGTGCTCCCGTCCCTGGAATCCCTGTGTCTTACCCATCCACCTGATACACCTCCGCAAACTTCCTGAAGACCCGGCTGCCACCTCTCCCCACGGGAAGCCAGGGCCATGCCTCGCCTCCAGGGCCACCTGCGCACTGCGCTGGCTTCCAGGCTGCGTGGTCTCACGGACTGCGGACAGCAGCTCACCAGGGGGAGGCAGGCAGGGGCTCCGAGTCCAGCAACTCGCCTGCTCCCAGTTCCACCAGCACTAACGCTGCGGGCCCAGGCAACGTAGCTAAACTCTGGGCCTCCGTTTTCAAATCTCTTAAAAATAAGTTCAGAAGCAGAGCCTGTGGCAGGGGCTACGGTGGCGGTTAAATGAGGTGTGCATTCTGCTCTTAGAGCAGCCGGGCTGATGCAGACGCAGCGCCAGGACTGGGAGCAATCCCTCTGCAATGTCACAGCATCCGTCCTCCCTCCCTGATTCAGAGCCTGGAGCAGGAGCAGCCTGTGCACTCACAGCGCGGGACCCCCGGCTTACCCCAGCCCTCCAGCGTGTGCACAGGGTGGGTGGCGATGAACACTGCCTCTTGCTTTGGGGACAGGCTCCGTGTGAGCCTCCAGGCCCTGCTACGTGGCCCAGAAACAGAGCTCAGCACTTGTTTCAATACGTTACAGATGAAGGAAACATGAAATAACAAACTTGATGAAGAAATATTTCTAATTACTGTTCATTATTTATATTTAACTGGAGCAAGATGCTCCTTTACTTGTAGGCACCCAGGGCTGTAACCGTCGTATTTCCTGTAAAGGAGGGATCTTTTCCCCACATTTTTAAGTTTCTGTCCTGGTAACACAAACAGTTGCAAAGCTGTGATGAATGGGAAACATCACGATGAATTATACAGTTGGGTCTAAATACTGAGCTGCTCTAAATCACTGCAGTTTCCATGAGTGTGGATTAAAAGTGTAACTCCAAGGAGTTTGGAACCTCTGCTCCATCTGCATTTGAAATGAGAGTCCCTCTTTCCTCTTGCCATTTATTCACCACTGTGCCCTGCCCAGAGTTTAGGGGGTATCTCTAGATGCTAAACAGGCAGCTTCACATCCCTTCTGTCCAAGCTCTGTGCTCCCACCACAAAACACCTCCATCTTTGCACTACCAGCCCTGTGGCTCAGCCTCGACGCCTCCATCACCTCTCATGACCTTTAGTCTGTGTAGCAGGATCTCCCCATCTCAAATGCACAGTTCCTCTTCAAAGGAAAGTTTCCAGGCTCCCTAATGTGCTCAGCACATGGTGGGCACTGCACCTATCTCAGAGTGACACATCTATAAAAGCCATCTGGAGGTTGGAAGAGCAGAGCCCAGCTCTTCACACACAGAAGATGCCATCTTCCTGGGGCTCCACCTCCCATCGGAGAGCAGCTTTGGGAGAGACACAGGGAGGGATAGAGGAGAACAGAAGCAGCCAACCACCCAGGCTCCAAGCCAACACTGGCAGAAGCAAAAAACAGGTGTTCACATCAGATAGGACACCCCTCAACTGGCTAGCAAGGCCTGGCCGGGAGAAAGCTGCAGAGCCACAGACTTAATTTAGCAAGTTTTCCAGACTATTCTCTTCAGCAACAACTGCTAGAAAGCACCTGCCCCCCAGGAAATGGAGAGCTGCTCCTCATAGGTGGGGTTCCCATAAGCAGAAGGTGCCTGATGCAGCTGGCTGAGGTCATTCAGCCAGCTGTTCCTCCAACAGTTACTGAATACCTACTAGGTAGGCTCAGTGGCACAAACAGCAAGAACTGAATGGTGGGCGTCTTCAAGGGGTCCACAGCTAAGGATGGGCGAATGGGAACAGAAGTAATCAAACATGAGAGAGACTAAAGTGCAGTCCTGCAGGGGACCCTGGAAACAGGACGACTGTCAGCTCCTTCTGAAGAAAAGAAAGACTGCCTAGAGAGGAAACATTACACATCAACAATGAAGACCTTACCCCCTGGGTGGGGGTAAGCCAGCTGGAGAACCAAGGGGCAGAGTGTTGTAGGAAGAGAAGATATTACCTGAGAAGGCACTGATATGTGAAAAAATGTGGTTCATTTGGGACACACCATGGGACAACTCACATCAGCTAAAACAGCAGGTTTGGAATCAGACTGACGGGTATGAATTCTGCCTCTGAGCACCCCAGAGTTTGAGTTATACCAGTGGTTCTCAAAGAATGGTCTTCAGGGCATCAGTACCACCTGGAACCTTTTGAGAAATGCAAATTCTGGGCCCCAGCTCAGATCTACTGAATCAGAGACTTTGGGGTGCGACTCAGCAATTTGGGTGATTGTGATGTAAGTGCAAGTTCCATGGCCATTTGCTGAGGCAAGGATTTAACGTCTGAGGCCTTACTTTTCTTAATCCATACCTTTCTCATTGTATTGGTGGAGGAAGATCACAGACATACCTGGCATGCAGTTAATGTTCAATAAATGCCAGCTCTTCTCATAGGATATTGATAAGTCCTTGCAAAGGTTGAAGCAGAGAGGCCATCTGAAGGAGAGATGGGTGATGGCACCCAGGCGGTCACACCTGGATGGAAGCAACGGTGGGCAGGGAGCATGTTTCCAGGGCTTGCAGGCTCATGGCATTGACCCACCTCTCTTCCCAGTACAATGCCTGTGGTAGATGTTGTCTCCATCACATTGCCAAGGTGCAAGCAAACAATTCACTATCAACACCCAGTCTGCACCTTCAATCATCTCAGGATGCCCAAAGTGAAGATCTGAGAAAGGCAGAACCTGGGATGTGCATGGGATGCCAAACTTCCCTGGGAGGCAGCCTGGACCCATGTTTTTGTGGACCATGATGATGACTGCCTAGCAGAGGCCTCCTGAGGAAGTACTGAGCCTCTGGGTGAAGAACGTTGATGGGGAAGATGTCTTTAAAAGCATCCTCCCCAGTGAGTAGAAGGAAGGAAACAATAAAGATCAGAGCATAAATAAATGACATAGAGACTAAAAAAACAATACGAAAAATCAATGAAACCAAGAGTTGGTTCTTTGAAAAGATAAACAAGACTGATGAACCTTTAACCAGACTCATCAAGAAACAAAGAGAGAGGACCCAAATAAACAAAATCAGAAATGAAAGAGGAGAAGTAACAACTGACACTAAAGAAATACAAAGGGTTATAAGATCATATTATGAACAACTATATGCCAACAAATTGGACAACCTAAGTGAAATGT